TCTCGTTATTAGCAATCTCTCCCGCTTCTATCAAATAACGTGCCACGTGTTCTATGGTGGATTCACTAGTATCCCCTGAAAATTTTGTGAATTTGGGGACTTTCCACCTTGGTGGTAACTCTTGTTGTAAGATAAATTCAGACAAGGGGGAAGTATAACTAGGCCTTTGTAATCCTACGTTTACTCCGTTTTGTGCCATTATTCTCTCCACCATGGTGGCAATATCATTTTCGACAGGCATGTTATTGTAACGCATTCTCTGTTGTAACACTTCGTCAGCATTTTGGTTTCTCTGGACTATTATCCTTCTTGGTTCCTGTCGAATAGGCTCTTCTACATTAGGCTGTTCGACCATCACCTCTTGCCCCCTGGGATTTTCCTGAGGGTTCCCTAAGGGCCTTTGGTTTATAGTGAGTTCCTCTTCGACAGCCCTATTGGCAGGATTCTGGTTTAATTGCATTCTTTGTTGTGCTTGTGGGACTCCAAAAAAATCAGCAATGCGTGCCATCTGTTCTGCCAATATTTGGTTTGTTTGGGTAGTGTTTTGTATTAAGGGATTGAACACGTCTCCCATTTGTTGTGTCAAAGCCTGCACCATATCATGATTGCTTTCATCCATCTGTTGACGGATTACTTGTGCAGAATGGTTTGTCATAGCGGGCATATGGAAACCTGGTGGAATTTGATTCATTCTATTTCCATTTCCACCATATCCTGATCCCTGCAATGGTGATGACACTTGAACCATGGCATCAGAGAATAATGGTGACGAATTATGTAGGCTTGCCATCATTGAAGTTGGCATTCCGTACGGTTGTTCTCTCCCAGTCAAAGGCTGAGAATAATTCAGATATGGCCTGAATGTATTTCCTCCAGGGGGAGGGGTTCCCAAGGGTCTGGCGTGTCCCATGGTGGAAGAACTAGGCGCATTCTGGGATCCTGAACCCGTTGGTATGGAATCCCCCAAAGGAGGCCTAATCTGTTCTAAAACAGGGCCAGACACTGGTATTGTTCCTGACGAAGGGATAGGATTGGAAACTGGAATGGTTTCGTCAGAAATATTTGAAGCATTTGGCAAGTTAGCCATGTTTCTTCTTCTTGTTCTCTTTGGTCTCTCTACGTCGGTTACGGCTAATTTACCGCTTCTAAGAATCATACAACGTAGCAAGGAACAATTTGTCTAAAAATTTCTATTAGATTTTATCAAATGCACTGGTCCCACCGGGCGTGCCAATTTGTTCGCTGTGTTTTCTGGCGAACAACCTCTGGTTAACCAATTTCTTCAGAAAGTTGGGTTACTTGCAGGACCAACCATACAAGTCCTGGGATACATGTGCATTTGGTTCTGTCGAAATACTCTTAGACTTTTGGTGACTAATTTGCGGTTTGTTTTATCAATATTGTCAAAGTATTAAGGACTTTGATTTTGCAAGTAACGAAAGTTTGAACTTAAAGATGAAATAAGGTTAAAAGTTTAAACAAGAACAAAGAAATGTCGAAAGGCTAAAAACTTGCAAAAAAGTAAATGAAATGTAAAATGACATGAACTTGAAGAATAAACAAGTAATTTAAAATGACTTTGAAATATAACTGGTGTTTAAACGTACATTGTTCCAAATACTAGGCTCATTTTCTCTCACACTGGGTACTTAGAGCTTTTACAGGAATTTTGTACAAATTTTCACACACCCATTCTAACCACAAACTATCCTATTTATACATAAACAAAATAACTGCTTAGAACGGAAAAACTATAACTAAACGACAAGTGTCAGCCTGCATGTAAATTTCTTCTCTGAAACCTCCATGTGTCCAACTGCCAAAGGTTACAACCTTTGAATTTGAATCTCTTCCTTGGTGACGAAACCTTGTAACTCTTCAAAACTGTCGAAACCCTTTTAAAGGAGAAAAACTCTTCAGCACTTGCCAAACCTTATCTTTTTTTAACAAACTTCTTCTGTCGAAGCCCTCAGTCACACACTCTCCAAACTATTCTGCCAGAACATTATATCTATTTCTGTCGAAACAATGAAACTTTAAAACCTTGTCAGCAATTCTTGGATTCTCCTCCTGATGCTATCCTTCGACAAAGATGACCTTAAAGCCTGAATTTTAATCTTGTCGAAATTATGGTCTTGTCGAAATTATGGGTTTACAGGTGGACAAGACGTAGCCTCGTTATAGGGGAACTTGTATAAACCAAACGTGTCACTCTCCTTCTTAGTTTGTATATCTTGTTGTTTGTGTTAAGCCTTTTTATCGAAAAGTTAAAAAAAAAACTCAATTCAACCCTCCTTTCTTGTGTTTTTATCTACCTTTACTTCCATCTCCTTAACATATTTGTTAATCTCAATCTTGTTCAATACAAATTGTACAACTTGAATGCACTAATTATGTGATAACCAACCAAAATTATTGTTTCACTTATATCTTTTAAATTCATTCTTCTTGCATAAGGAATATGCTTGAAACATAGTGACTTAAACATTGTCAAATGAGTCACAGTTGACTTTCTTCCTATCCAAGCTTTAAAAAATACCTTTTCCTTCAATCCTTTTGTAGTGCTTTTGTTCAAGATATAAGTATTTGTGTTTTTCTACATGTTTAGTACACTTTTGTCTCTCTTTTCAGCTAGGTAATTATGATATGGAGTGTATAATGTTGTGACTTCATAAATAATGTCATGTATGGTGTAATAAGTTTCAGCCTCTTTGAATGTATATTCTTCTCCTCCATTTGGCACTGATGTAATGTGTGACGTGATATTATATCGGTGGTTAAATAGCTTTAAGTGACTATATTTCTGATGGTGAAATATGATAGTTTTTTTTAATTATGATTGTCAATGTAGACAATAGAAAGTGATATATAATTTTCAATCAAGATAGATATTGTTTGAGTTGTTTAAAAATATAAATGTTAAAATAGTCAACATTATTTAATTTTCTAAAGAAAGAGGAAAATCAGTGATATAATATATTCAAATATCAGTCATTTTAAACGTTTGGAGAACGAGTATCTATTTAAGATATTTTAGGATAGTTTATATGTTGTAACAATTTTTATATATTGTTATTATTTAGTTATCATTTGACAATAACCATAATTTTTTTTTCTAATTTTAAAATTTTTATATTATGTATTTGTACTGTAATTGTCTTCTTGATTTTTTTATGTTGATTTTCGCCAACATATTTAATATTAATTATAAATTATTTAAAAATTCAATTGAAAAAAAAAGTTAACACATAGCTCTACTTAAATATTTTTAACAAATCCAATGAGTTGATTACAATATTTTAAATTAGTAATCTATTTAAAAATCTTTATACACATTTTATATAAATTAACTAACTATCCTTGTATAGACTAATTTATAGAGTATAACATCACATCAACAATTCATTGTGAAATACAATTATCTAAACTATAAAACTCAAAATTAATCAAGAGCTTTTAGCATGCAATTCAATATCAATCTTCATTCTACTAGTTATACATTTCCTTTATTCTTAATTATAATTATAATAAAAATGAGTCAAAAGAAAGCAGATACATTTGATCTAACTATATCTATTTTTGTTTATAATTGTCATTAGATAAAATATTATATTTGAAGGCCTGCATAAAAAATCTGAAAATTTGTAAGAAAGTTTTAAATCAATCAATTAATATAATGGTAAAGACAATGTTTGTTGGTTGACATTTCATAATCTTCCTACATCCTTAATTAATCTATGATGTTTGCTTTAAATCTGTATTTGTGGCCTGTGCCACAACATGCATGGCATGTCTTACCATAAAATAGATAGATACACTCACATTATTTCAATTATTGTAAAAGAAGGGGGAAAAACTATTGTAACATCCCTTAACTTTGATAAAAACTGAACCACTGTTTTTTAAAATCTCTTAAATAAACATATAACAAACTTACACCAAAAAAGATTTATATAAATTTTATGAATCAATTAAACTAGTTTTTTTTCACTAATATAAAATATTAAAAAGTAAGTTGATAATACTTCTCCATTGTCCCATTAGGTATAATATTTCTCTAATTTTAATGGATTAAATTTTATTTATTAAACTACTAAACTAATTTTTTTTCCATGATGTGCCTCTTTTAAAATAAATATTTAAAAATTAGTTTTTTTTTCAATATAAAAAACTAAATATTAATTGATAATATTTCTCCCATGTATGATAATATTCATTAAACCACTAGAGTAAAAAATGATTTCTCTAGCTTCATGACGTGTCTCCTTTTAAAAATAAAAATAAATAATTGTTTTTTCATTTTTTAATATAAATAAATAATTATTTAAAAACCCCATTTCTCATTTTATAATAGTTAATTTTATTTAAACAAATTTCCACAATCAATGAATTACCACTTTGATTAGATTCTCTTCCTCTTCCTTTCACCAATTAACAACAAGTGTTAAGAGTAGAAAAAGAAAGAGAAAAAACAAAAAAGAAAATGTCCGTGACCACAAATTAATTAATGATCCGAATTTCAATGCAAGAAATTCGTGAAATGAATAAAGACATTACACATTTCAAATTTCTTAAAATAAATAAAAAACAATAATTGAAAGAAGAAGAAGAAAAAAAAGTATAGTAAATAATCACAGGAGCTACGAATTTGTTGGGAGTTTGTATGAACGAACGATTGAACGGCAAAATCTCTCCCTAATTTCCGAAAAGGTTCTTTCTTTCTCTCTTTCTTCTCCCAATCTCCGTTCCGTTAGGTTAGGGTTTCCTCATTTCCCCCAATTTGTTCTCTTTCTGCATTTTCTCTCAATTAGGGTTAGCATTTTTTTCCTTTCTTTTGATTCATTGTTGTTATTGTTGTTGTGTTTTGGAATTGTGGAAGCTTTTAATTGTTGTGGTTTTGTTTAGATGTGTACTTGAAACAGAAGCAACTGGAGGAGAGGGTCCTCAGGTGAAGATCTGAGGCTTTTTTGGGTTTTTCTTTTCGAGAAATAGTTTAAAAGATGAGCGCTTCTAGGTTTATCAAATGTGTTACTGTTGGTGATGGAGCTGTCGGCAAAACTTGTTTGCTTATTTCATACACCAGCAATACTTTCCCCACGGTTTGTTCTTTTTTCTTCTATTTTTGAATTTTGAATTTTGAATTTTGTATTTTTTAAATTTTTGGGTGTTTGGGTTATGTTTAAATTCATGTAAATTTGAAATTTTGTATGGGAAATGCTTTGTATGGGGACTGTGCATGTAAATTATGATTTGAAATATTGATTGTTAATTTATAGGTTGAAATAGGTATAATGTGTGATTTTGATGTGTAAATTTTTTTGATTGTTGATTTATTTATTTTGGTTGGAAACAGGATTATGTGCCAACAGTTTTTGACAATTTCAGTGCGAATGTGGTTGTTAATGGGAGCATTGTTAATCTGGGCTTGTGGGATACTGCTGGTAATGTTTTGTTATTTGATTTGTATTTCGGGGATTCTGATGTATGGTTTGGAGGTTGTTTTTTTTTGGATTTATTGTGTTTATTTGTGGAACAGGACAAGAGGATTATAACAGATTAAGACCTTTGAGTTACCGTGGTGCTGATGTTTTCATATTGGCTTTCTCTCTCATAAGCAAGGCTAGTTATGAAAATGTCTCCAAAAAGGTGCTCGCTGGCTCCCATTTTGATATGGTGTCCCTTGTAGAATGTTTAGTCTATGAAAACTTGCTAATATGTTACATGGGTTCGTTTCGTTTTCAGTGGATTCCAGAGTTGAAGCATTATGCACCTGGTGTCCCCATAATTCTGGTTGGGACAAAGCTTGGTATGTTTGTTGCTGCATAATGTGATATTGATATTCTGATGCCGTTTTCTCTCTATATATATATGGTATTAGTCATGGTTTATGTTTTGGTGAAATCATATAGCCCCATGCATTTCATGATCAACAAATATTGATGTTTTAAATATCCTCGACAGTTTCCATTTGTTGAACTGGTTAACTACTGAACCAGTCTGCTGTCTTTATTAAGGGAGAGGGTGGGATTTCTGCTGCATTTTATTCTATTTTTTCTGTAGTTTTTCATCTCCATTGTTTTTCCACTGGTATCTGATACTTTAGTTGTGGTCAATGTTTTGGTGTTTCTGCTTTTCTGGTTTGTTTTAGTTTTATTCATAAAATGTTGTATATGCAGTTAGGATTTCCCTGTTTCCAAATTTGTGTATATATATATTTTCAAATAGTCTCTGCTCCTAATGAGTTGTGTTAGCTTCTAGTTACACGAATGGCTGTGCTAGTTTCCTGTTAGACGAATTTCTTGACAGAAGAGTTGGTTTCTTATTATATTTTGTCATTTGTATTGAGATAGACCTTCGGGATGATAAGCAGTTCTGCATAGACCATCCTGGTGCCGTTCCCATTACCACAGCTCAGGTGATTTTTGCTTCTGGTGCTCTGTGATCTTGTTTAGTTATTTCACATCTTAAATATTAAACCCGAAGTGTGTGTTGTATTAAAGGGAGAAGAGCTGAGGAAGCTGATTAATGCACCAGCTTACATTGAATGCAGTTCAAAAACACAGGAGGTACACAGTTTTCTGATTATTTTCTTCTTCTCCTCTAATTCAAAATGGGTAACTTAATATGTAGTTTAAGTTTGTTGTTGGTATTTATCGCAGAACGTGAAGGCAGTGTTTGATGCAGCCATAAGAGTTGTTCTTCAACCACCAAAACAGAAGAAAAAGAAGGGTAAAGCACAAAAGGCGTGTTCAATATTGTAATTCACTAGGTTTAAACATTTGATTGTCCTTTGTTCTACCTGTATTCCCCTCCCCTTCTTTCTTTTCATAATTTCTTTGCTAGTAAAGAAGTCGGAGAGTCTGTGTGGGTGTTCTTTCAGACAAATACTCGAGATCTCCTTGAAGCATAAGGTGGTTTTAATGCTTTGCTTTCTTTGAATTATTATTGTCAACTCTAATAGTCAAATTTGCATTTCATGCTTCCCATATTTTTTTTCCTATGATATGTAGTATTAAACTGGAGTATCCAGTTAGGATAACCATATTTTGTTGTTTTGTAATACTAATTTAATTTACTATACAAAGACTTGTGTCCACAAGTTTACAGGTCCCTTGTTTCTTTCCATTGGTTAGTCAATTATGCTATGCTTGAAAGTTGAGTTTTGGAGAAAAACAGGGGAGGGCTTATTTCCTTTTTGAAGTTAAAGAAATCATTAAATGTTTCTAAAATCGACTAAAGTGTTCACTTTTCTTAAAGCTAAATAAACTGGCCCAGAATTGACTTCTTTGAGTGTGCTGATTTGATTTTTTTTCAAAAAGAAGAAAAGTTAATTTATATAATTAATAGTTAAACTTGTAGTACAGCTGTTACCTTGATACTAATTTATAAGAAGAAAAAGAAAACATTATTTTTTTGTTACAAATTATAAGGAAAAAACATCAGTTTTATTTCATTTAAACAATTTATTCTGAGAAATTCATTTTTTTTCTAAATGCAAATTGCATTTAATTTGCTTTCTTTCATATTTTTCATAAACAACAACCAATCAAAATTGTTTTTATATTTCTTCTTGTAAAACATATTTTTATGAAAACACAAAAATTCCAAAAAAATTGAAATAAATTAGTTTAGCTTAGGATAGTTCTTATAAATATTTTTTGTACTACACACTCTAAGGTTTGAATTTACCTCAATGATCATCATGGTTAAATTGAATTTGATGGTCTTGTGAATAGGATGCAAGGTCATAAATTCTCCTTTGTAAACCGAGACTCTAAGATTTACTTAGGAAAAAGTGTATTCTTTCAGCTAAGAGCATCCACCCACATTCATATAATCCAATTTAGTAGTATAAATGGGTTTTATTTAATATAATATATTATTTCATATTTTCCAATTATTTGAAATTCAATTATATATTTTAAATATTCATACCACTCATTTAAAATTCTAAAACGGATTCTACTAATTTCAAAATATATTCTAAATTTTATATTAATATATAAATATCTAATTAAAACAAATAAGTTAAATTAAATTAAAATATATTAAATAAACATCAATAAATTATAAGAAAATACATTAAAATTTTTCATAAACATCAAAATAAACTACTAGTAGAAAATATATTAAATGTTTAAAATAATTTTTAGTTGTGATTATTCTCATGTCTAAAACGTTTTCATATATGTTCTATCAAGTCTTGTTGAAGGCGTCGATGAATTTCCTTGTTGCGAACATGATGTCTTCTACGTAGGAACTCCTGAAAATTATTATTAGAAGCATCTGGTGGTGCAGTCGGATCATTACCTAGATGCTCATAAGAATAGTCAAAATTGAAACCATATGTGTCATAATCATCTTCAACAATTATGTTGTGCAATATGATGCATGTATTTATTATACGTTTTAGTGCATCCAAGTGCCAAGATCGAGTTGGGTTACGTATGATCGTAAATCGGGATTTGAGAATTTTAAATGCTCGTTCGATATCCTTTCTTATGCCTTCTTGATGTTGGACAAACAATTTTCTCTTATCTCCTTATGGCATTGAGATGTTTTTCACAAATGTGGCACATTCAGGATAAATTCCATTTGATAGATAATAATTCATATTGTATTCAATACGATTGATTGTATAATAGACCTCAGGAGCTCGCCCTTGCATAACATCGTTTAAGATAAGATTGGTTCAACACATTGATATTGTTGTTTGAATCCGCTACCCAAAATCTATAAGTCTTGTGAAGCAAGTATTTCAAGCATAGCAGTGGGTTTACCATGATCGCCTCGAACATATTGCCCTTTCAATGCAATGGGACAATTTTTCCATTCCTAATGCATACAATTAATGCTCCCCAACATACCTGGAAGGTCACGTGCCTCCCCCATTTGCAACCGGCGTTCAATGTCTTCAACGGTTGGCTTTCGTAGATATTGTGACTCAAATACACTAATCACACCCCATGTAAACTTAACACATTTTAGTGTTGTGGTTTCAGCAATTCTCAAATAGTCATCCATACTATCAATAGATGTTCCATATGCAAACATAAGAATAACTGCAATGCACTTTTGTAGTGGTGAAAGACTTGATATATCAGTTGCATCAACCCCAAGTTGAAAATACTCATCATGTTGATCAAGAGTTTCAACAATACGAAGGAATAGGCGTTTATGCATTTGATATCTTCGACGAAATTGCTCATTTGTGTACACTGGTGCTTTTGAAAAATAATCTTTGAATAGTTTTTAATTTTTTCACCAAGGTTAATAGTTTCCGACCCACCTTGGGTGAGGAGTTGTTGTGTTTCAAGCTCTTTATCATTAGATTGCATGTCACTACCAATTATTTGAACTCAATGAGACATGGTGGAATTTGTTGATTAAGATGAAAATTGTTGATATTGGTATGGATAAGATGGTGTATGATATGGGTAATTTCTAATATGTGGGTTATTTTGTGGATTTGGAATAAAAAAGAAATTTGAAAATTTTGGTTATGAAGTTGATTTGGGTTGTGAAATAAATTTTTAAAATATGAGTTGTTTTGTTGAATTGGAATAGAAGGTGGGTTGCCACCAATTTGCATAAAATTAAACCAGAGATGATTCTGGTGGGAGTTCATTGAAAACTAAAATGGATAAAAAAAAATAATTTAAGAGAGATTAAAAAATTATTCTAATTTAGAGTAAATATGAATTAAAATTATGATTAATTAATGAGTTTATTCATACTTATTTATACTCAAAATAAATAATTAATTTATTAAAAATATTTGAATGACTATGTAAAATATTAATGACAGTTAAAAAATTAAATATGCATAGATTACCACTCACCGACACATAAATATTAATATTTTACTACAAAGACATAGTGATAATAGAATGCAAAAGTGTCATTTATTACGACGCTTTCAATTTGAAAATATTCATTCCACTTTGACATTATTGCATTAATAAATGTGATACTACTACCAAAAAAGCTCGTGTATCTTATAATTTTCAAAATAGCTCATGTATTTCAAATATTTTTTATAGTTGTATTTTGCTAAAGGTACGAGTTCCATTCTAAAATAAAAAATGAGTAGGGAGGTGGTGGAATGAAGTTTAAATGTAGTATAGCATATTTTTACTAGGTAGCATTGAACATTGTGCGACTTTTTTTTCTAGAGTAACATCTTTGTGAGAGATACACTACATACTCACCTAAAATTTTAAGATAATAGATGTATAGGTTCTCTCACTTATAAATGCTTAAGTCACCACATTCTTATTCAATGTGAGACTATTATCCACACTACTCACGCTTGTTAATACTTAACACAATGTTGATAATTTATTGAAATTAAGATTGATTCATGAAATCAAGGGAATGAAACATGAAGCTGTCAAATAAGTCGATGTTGGAATTTCTCAAACAACAATTTCTAGTGAAACTTGATCTCGTTGGCTTCATCACTAAAGACTAAAAGAGATAGAGAACATCCTTATCATCCATCAAAGGAGAAATCCAATAAGTATTCAAGGATATTCGTATAAAAAGTTCTTGATTCTGCGTTGCTACCAATGCTCATATAGAATAACTCATTTTGGTTTATCAAGCCATAATAGTCGAGCTAACTGGGATAAAACAATATTCAAACTCATTTTAGAAAAAAATTCTCATCATATAGAATAGGCATTGTTTTATATATTTTATTACTCTTTCATTTATTGTCTATTTACAGGTATAAAATAATTTTAATATTCATTGTAGTATATTCAATTGTAACTGACAACAATGAAATATATAAAATCATTTTATCCTCTTCTAACTTCATTACTCTTTCATTTATTGTCTAATGCTAGTTATAAGTATAAAATGATTTTAAGATTCATTGTAGTATATTCTCTAGAAAGAGTAATAAAGTTTTACAAATGATTTTATAGTGTAATAAATAAATCAAGAGGATTTTATCTAACACAATAATCATAAGCATCTTTGGGATGTGTGTCATGGTGACTCATACTGGTATTCGCTGGTACAAATTGTCAATGTTATCTGCTAGTAACAAGTACTGAAGCAATGTCAAGTTTCTCAGATTAAATCAAAGCTTTAAAGCTAACATGTTTGATCCTTATGAAGAAGATCAAGTTGCTACTCTATATGAGTTCTTTCCTCTAGTAACCACCAAAGAAGTATATTCTGATAAAGAATAACTTATTTATTTTCCTTTTTAAACATTTGAATTGAAAAACACCTAAGTAATACTATATAAGGTACAAATAATACAAGCTTTGGTTGACATAAGATCTGCTAGGAGTGATAAGGACACAAAACAACTTGGTGTAAAAGTGCAATATCTAAATGGCTCATTTCTCACAAGATAAAGATCATTCAACATTCATAAAATAGTAAGTTATATAAACTTCTCATAGTTTTATTCGTTCTCAAATATCAGACCATACAACACTAAAACAACTTTGTCAATAAACATTTGAAAATTAACTTTAGTATAGAAAGAAAATAATTTTCAAAAGAATGAGATCTAGAAAAGAATATCTACTTAAAGTAAAGAAAGAAGCAAGCAATTGATTTAATTTTATACGCTTTTTGTTGAAAGATTAAAATACGTGTATTTGTACTTAGAGTTATTTACATCCTTTATCGAGTGATAGTTTGTAAATACTCCTTCATTTATCTTATTGTATTTCTTATAAGACTAAGTGTTATCCAGGTTCTTTGAGTTTGAGATGAAAAATATATCCAATAGGGA